GACAGAAAAGGACATTAGCTAGATTGGGTGTTTATAAGCTGGATACCTTTCTGTCATGCATGCAAATCTGAGCCAGATTGATTTTAACAAGAAACATTACCCCTCTGATGCAGGGATTGGAAAATTTTTCCTATAAAGGGACAAATGGTAAATGTTTTGGCTTTGCAGGCCATAAATTCTCTGTTGCAACTCCTCAACTCTGTTGTTGTAGCATGAAAGCAGCAAGAGACAATATGTAACCAAATGAGCAATGCTGTATTCCAATAAAATTTATTTTCAAAAACAGACCACAGGCTGCATTTGGCTGGTGGCCCTGGGTAATTGTTCTAAGCATTCATTTACCAACAGTCCTTACCATCATATTACATCCTCTTTTATTTTATTTTAAAAATTTTTTAAATGTTTATTTTTGAGAGAGAGAGAGACAGAGCACAAGCAGGGGAGGGGCAGAGAGAGGGAAACCCAGAATCCAAAGCAGGCTCCAGGCTCTGAGCTGTCAGCACAGAGCCCGACACAAGGCTCGAACTCACGAACCATGAGATCATGACCTGAGCCAAAGTTGGACGCTCAACAGACTAAGCCACCCAAGCACCCCATATTACATCCTCTATTAAACTTAACAGGTTTCTTTGTCAGCAAGCCAGCTGGCAACAAAAAACTGAATACTGAGACAATGGAAACTGAGACTGCCTTTCAGAAATTCTCGGGGCTCCTGGGTGCCCCGCTTGGCTAAGTGTCCCACTCTTGATTTCAGCTCAGGTTATGATATCACAGTTATGAGACTGAGCCCTGAGTTGGGCTCTGCTCAGAGTGGGGAGACTGCCTAAGATTCTCTCTCTCCCTCTGTCCCTCTCCCCCACTCCTGCTCTCTTTCTCTACAAATAAAAAATAATAAATAAATAAATGAATAAATGAATAAATAACTGGAAACAAAGGCTCAACAACTTGCCCGTGATCATATAGCCACCATACTTCCAATTGTACCACAATTCCTCTAGGCAGTCTTTAGCTAATCCTATTATCAGCAGTAGCTTTCCATATAATGACCAATCCATAAGAGAAGACAGCAGTCGACCACCCTTGCACCCATTTTTCACCTATAATAAATATACTACTACATTCCAAATATGCTCTCCTTCCTTACCTATCTACCTGAATTTTCTTCAGTGTCTCCGTAGACATTATGGTCTGTCTTATAGGTTTTTTGAAGACAAGATCTTGCGTTTTGTTAAATCCGTTGGCCAATTGGCTTCCTTGTCTGATTTCTGGCAACTTGGTTTCTTCTTTAGGTAAGAATGGACTGGTTATTTTTGAGGTTTTTGGGTCATCTGAAAGTTTTTCTAAAGTCTTTTCTTCAAAATTGATTTCTTTATTTTTCTTCTAAAAACAAGAAATAATGTTTTATGTAATACAGATTTTAAGAGTAAAGAAACAATGCTATACAAGAGCCTCTGCCTACATTTTTCAACCTCATCTTCTGCCACTTGTACTCGACACACAAGAAAATTACCCTTTTCTTCAGCCACATAAACCATGTCCTGCTATTTTGTTCCTTCCTGCCCCTAGACAACATTCCTTTTCTGTCTTTCCTCAGTGTACCACCAGGTAAACTTTAAGATTTTGATCAAAGGAAAAGTTATTTGTGAAACACCTTTATTAGCAGACATTTACCATATTGTAATTCTTGTATACATTGTATACAATTGTATAATCGTCTCCATCAGATTGTAAATTCTATGAAGGAAGGGACAGTTCTTAGAGATCTTGGTTCCCTGCAATTTCTTTTTGAAACAGGGGAACCTGAGTGGCTCAGTCCGTTAAGCATCCGACTGTTGATTTTGATTCAGGTCATGATCTCACTGTTTGTGAGATTGAGCCCCACGTCAGGCTCTGTACTAACAGCAAGGAGCCAATCTGAGATTATCTCTCTCCCTCTCTTGCTGCCCCTCTACCACTCATGCACGCGCTCTCTGTCTCAAAAGTAAATAATTAAAAAATAAAATAAAATAAATTCTTTTGGGAATTGGACTGGATAATAAATGTGGCCATCTTTATAGTTTCATTGTCTAGAACAATGCCTAGGGTATAGGAGACTCAAAATGCTCATTGAACACATGAATTTTAAATATAAAGAATGAAAGGAAAGTCATATCGAAGAGCATAAATTGGTATAATTAGTAGTGTGGTATAGATTTTGAAGGTCATGTGGGGAAAGGCCAAAATAATTTATTTTTCAGACCCAAATTGAACACTAAGGGGTAGGCATCAACCATAGGAACAGCATATGTCTTTTAACTGATGATTCCTATTTAATCTGTGGCTAAAAGCTTTAGCTATTGAGAGGCCATACAACATAGTCATTATACCTAAAGACTCTGAAACCAAACTTCCTTATTTGAATCCTGGCTTTATTTCTCACTAAACCATATTGCCTTAAGAAAACTATTTAATATCTCTATGCCTCCATTTTCCCATTGGTAAAATAGGGATAATAGTACCTCCCCTCATAGGGTTATTAAAAGGATTAAATAAATTAATATACATAAAGCATTTAGAACAGTACACAGAACTTTGTGAGTTCTACACTTGTTATGATTACTTAAATTCTTGTGCTGTCTAATGCACAGAAGAAAAGTTTATCTGCACACTGATACACAAAGCCTAGGTCTTCCTTAGCTAAACTTCAACTAGCCCAGAAATGTTAAAAACTATCCATGAATGGTTAATAAACACAGAGTCAACTGTATTTTTCTTTACATCAACAATAAGCAAAGATTCAGATCTAAAGAAAACATCTATAGGCAAGTACAAAACAAAATGCTGCCTTAAATAAGAACTAAATTTAAATTTTTTCTTTTAAATTAAAATTAATTTGGCTACAACGAGAATGAAGTGTAGCATTTCAACAACTGAACTGAAACTTACCTAGATGTAAGGAAAACCTTAAGGGTGGTTTTTATTTTAGATTTTATCTACGTAGGGAAGGGGAAAGTGTAAGGCCTAGGAGGCTCTGTTTTTCCATTTCCCTGTTTTTCCTCTACCTTTATGCTTGGGCATCTGGAAATGGAAACAACTGTGTCAAGCAGCCTGATTTACTGATTACTACAAATAAATATGAATTTTTGAAAGAGAGAATTTAAGTGGGCTAGCTAAATGTTTTAGTTCATTTACTAAAAAATATTTATATCACACACACACTATGTACAAGAGAGGGTATTAGACTCTTGAGACAAAAGGTAAGAGAAACAGTATCCCTGCAGGGAAGCTCTTCCCAAATTTTGGTCCACTTACTCCCACTTCTGGTAGAATCTGATACATTAGTATATTTTTCATCATGCCACTCCATGATTTTACAAATGAAAATCTATTTGGAGATGTCCTTAGCTATAAAAATGGCTATAAAAGAGGGATAATGCTAATTAACCTTTCATCCCAAAGTTGTTCTAAAGGCTAAACAATAAGACAAAGGATTTAAAATATAATCCTATGCCCTTACAGGGCAATGACATTGTAAAATTAATGAGCTAGAAGTAGTATTATGAAGCAAAAAAATTATTTTAAAAGATTCATAATTTTGTAAAGTTGTGGAACTAACATATTGAGAAAAGAGCTGTTAAGCTTCTATTAATCAAGATAAGAGAATAAGGCTTTATTATATACACTACTATAAAATTACAAGCAGGGTCTCTGTTAAGTCAGAAAATTTTGTGGGTGAAGATCCCTATCATAAACCAGAATAAAATAGTGCAAAAATTTTGTTCTTTAATTTAGTGAAGTAGTGACCGCTGCTGAATTGTTTATAAATTTGGGTTTTTCATTCTCTCGAGTTTCTATGAAGGCAAATTACCTTTTTTTAGCCTGACAGTATCATTGATAAGTCTCATAAAACTTTATCTTGTTAACTAACTAAATATCTTTTTATTTTTGATTCTTACTGAAGGAGACAATAAATAGGGAGGAAACCCCAGACTCTTTACTATTTATTACCTAGCTTAATGTATGAATTAGACTCTTATTTTAAACGCATTGAAAGGCTTAGTTCTTGGGTTTTCAGTCTCTTTGCCTTCATAAATTGATAAGAAAAATTAATTTGTTACAAAATTCCCTGATATACCCATTAATGTAATTTTTTCCCCAAGTTTTTACTTAAATTCTAGTCAGTTAACATATGGTAAAATTGGTTTCAGGTGTATAATTCAGTGATTCATCACTTACATATAACACACAGTGCTCATCACAAAAAGTGCCCTCCTTAATACCCATTACCCATTTAGCCCATCCCCACCCACCTCCCTCCATCAACCCTCAGTGTTCTCCATAGCTAAGCCTGTTAGTGTTGTTTTAAAACCACCCTGAAATTCATAGAATGCTAGCATTAGAAGGGACTATGTGGATCATTTAGTTAAAACTCTATTACACTTTAGGGACACGTGGCTAGCTCAGTCAGCTGAGCATGCAACTCTTGATCTCGTGGCTATGAGTTCGAGTCCCACATTGGGTGTGGAGATTACTTAAAAATAAAATTGAAAAAAAAATACACACACAAAAACTCCATCACATTTTACAAATGGGAATATGAAGACCAAGAAAGTGAAATGAACTGATAGTACACAACTAAACTGCAAAGAGCTCCTGACTCCAAATCCAGTATTCTTTAAAGTAATTTTTACCAGGGCGCCTGGGTGGCGCAGTCGGTTAAGCGTCCGACTTCGGCCAGGTCACGATCTCGCGGTCCGTGGGTTCGAGCCCCGCGTCGGGCTCTGGGCTGATGGCTCAGAGCCTGGAGCCTGTTTCCGATTCTGTGTCTCCCTCTCTCTCTGCCCCTCCCCCGTTCATGCTGTGTCTCTCTCTGTCCCAAAAATAAATAAACGTTGAAAAAAAAAAATTAAAAAAAAAAAAATAAAGTAATTTTTACCAAGTTTTTTTTTGAGAGAGAGAAAGAGAGAGAGAATGAGCAGGGGAGGGGCAGAGAGGGAGGGAGAGAGAGAATCCCAAGCAGTCTCCACACCGTCAGTGCAAAGCCCGATGTGGGGCTTGAACTTACGAACCGTGAGACCATGATCTGAGCCAAAACCAAGAGTCAGACACTTAACCAACTGAGCAACCTAGATGCCCCTCCAAATCCAGTATTCTATTAAAATTTTGTATAACTTTCAAACTTCAATAAAAGTTTAATAAACCCAGACTATACATATAATGATAATAATTATTATTATTTTAAAAATTTAAGGTGAAATTAGTATCTAGTCACAATAAATATGGACTTCTCTTCCATTAGACATGGAAAGCAATTTACTCTGTTGTTTATGTAGCAATTTTCATCTATAATAGAATCAGAATTGTATATTCTGTACAAATTATATAAAGTAATTTTGCTGAACTGAATAAATGTGTATTTATCAATTCTTTCCATTTTATACTACAACCTAAGTTATTAAAATTTATAAGAGCTTAAGAATTAATGAAAATTTTCTCACTACCAAGTTGAGTTTTTTGATAATTCAATAGACCTTTGAGGAGGAGTCCATATCACCACTGAAAATATAATGGGTGACATAATGATGTAGCTGGATATCAACAAAGGCAGGTTGCAACAGACTCAACAAAACAACAGTCATTTTAGAATAAAGAAACATTAAGAAGGTCCAACTGAATTTCTTCCCACTACTGTTCAGTTAGCTTTCAGCAGCCAAGAAATACAAGAGGGTGGGGCAATTCAGTAATTTGGCTACTCTCAGTACATACACTGTCTACTGATTTAACTGTAGGCTTTTTTGAATAATGCCAACATATTGGAAGAAAAGGATATTCTGACTGGCAATGTCTGTTGAACTATTGTTATTTCACCCCATCAATTCAGGGTATGTATCTCAGGTAATTATTATAACCCTTTTTATCTCAGATAAAGGTGCTATCTCCCGTGTTAAATTTAATGGCATAAGTACGGTACATGATAGAAAAATAAAAAGGAAAGAAAACAAAAATTAAATAGTGGTGAGTGTATATACCATGTTGACACTTTGTCTTCTTTCATACTGAACTGGCATGATATAGTTTAGAATAGAGAGCTGATCTGTGGTATCCTCCAGAACTGCGGAGATCCTCAGCACATCTAGAATGGAGAGTGGTTCTATGATTTCCGGGATGATTTCTATGTTTGTTTCTTCAGCTGTTTCTTCTTCTTCTTCTACAGCACCAGGTGGCTCGCCTGTCACTGACACTGTCACCTCAGAATGCCAGACTTCTGATGGAAGATTTGAGGCTTCTAGTTGGCCTCTAAAGAAAAAAATAAAGAAAAAAAAATAAGTCAGCCACCAAATGTTTAAAAATTGCACAAACTCAAAAGCACAGGCAGCATGTAGATTGGCTCCTGTGAAGTCCATATTGTCATATAATATAACCAAAATAAAGAACAAAAGTAGGAGTTTACACGTGGTTCTGCTAAATAAATATCTCTCTGTGACATTCTGACCAACCAAAGGCATGCCACTTACTGTTAAATAACTCTGTGTAACCCATACTATTTGACTGTGCTTAACCAATTTGAATTTGAACCCAAATTAACTTTTTTTTCTAGCAATATCTTTAGATGCTAACCAAAAGTGTCTCATGATTAATGAAAAACGGAATGTGGCAGGAGCACCTGTCCGGCTCAGTCTGTGGAGCATGTGACTCTTGATCTTGGGGTGTGAGTTTGCACCCCAGATTGGTACACAGCTTACTTAAAAAAAAATACATTAAAAAAATAACATTAAAAACAAAACCAAAACCAAAATGTAGTAACCAGTCTCCAAAGTGGGTCCATATGAGTCTTACCTTCTCGTATTTATGCCCTTTGTCCCTCATATTAATAGGACTAACTAAGCTATGTAACCAGGAGGATGTTGTGGGTTCCAAGGTTAGGTGATAAAAGACATTGCAGCTTCTCCCTTACTGTCTCATATCTTTCACTCTGTGAGAACCCAGCTGCCTTGTCATGAGGACACTTGAGCAGCCCTTTGGAGAAGTTTGTGAGGGTGAGGAACTAAGGCCTCTTACCAACAGCCAGCATCAACTCCCCAGCTGTGTGGGAGTGGATCTTGCAGCCCCAGTCAAATTTTCAGATGACTACAGCCCTGGGCAATTTCAACCTTAAAACAGACCCAAGCCAGCACCATTCAGCTAAGCTGCTCCCAAATTCCTGACCCACAGAAACTATGTGAAATAATAAAAGTTTATATTTTAAGTTACTAAGCTCTGGGGTAATTTGTTACACAGCAATAGATAAATTTAGCATAAGGCATAATTCATACACACACACACACGCACACACACACACACAAACTGGAATTTTGAACGTACTTTTCCATTCTTCTTAAGCTACTTTTAACTTCCATGGTACATTTACAATCTCACAAGAAATGCAGTCACCTAAAATGGGAAGAAAACATTGAGATTAGTTTAAGGGAGTGTTGAATGACATTTAAATTATTTCCATCCTTTCATTAAGAGAAAATTAAAGAATTATGAGAGCTGTGACATATCCCCTCTTTTTGCTTATCAGAGCAGTCCTAGCAATGGAAAAACCGCTGACATCATGGGATGCAGGACTACTAAGTAATCAGTTTAATTATTGACAAATGAAATTACTGATAAATGAAATCTTTGAGTTTGTTCTTATGGTAAATTAATATAAAACATGGTTTTCATATTTTATTATATTCTGATTTTAATTGGCAATATTTGTATAATAGATTTATGTTATTCTGCTTACTGAAATGTTTAATTAGATCATTTAATTTCCGATCTGTCTGACAACAAAATTTATTGCACCTGGACTTAGAATACTTGAGATTGTATTTAGAAAAGCTGCATTAATCCTGAAAATCCTGAAAGTAGTTTACTATTACTATCAAGATGTTACCATTCCATAAGCCAAAATCCTTTCCGCTTAAATGAGCTTTACAATAAGAACATCCCATGGAGAATTTTGCTCTATGCTGAATGAATAGTGAATGGTAAGTTTCCAATATGATTTTTTACAAGGATGATACAAGTATGTCTCACACAACAGAAGTCTCATATGCAAAAATGAAAAGGTAAAATAGAATCTTTATGTAAACTGAAAACAGGATACCCCAAACTAGCCAAATTTTCTGGTACAAGGGCATTCTTAGGAGAAAGTATCATGGTGTTAAGGAGATTTGGCTCTTCTTTTGTGTTGTTGTTGTTGTTTCTTTATTTTTCCTCTTTTAGGTTTGGGCCATAGATAAATGTGCTTCATGCAAGGAAGATAGGACTATGTTAATGCAGTAGTCAGTGTGTTCATGCTGTTCTGGCTTTTCATTCCTCAATGCTAGAAATCTAGGAGTCATTCCTGCTTCCTCGTTCATCTTGACACCAGCATTTCCCAATCCAAGCCATCACAAAGTCCTGTGGATTCTTTCTTCTTTTTCTGTATCCCCCAACACTATGCTGGACATGGCTGTTGTTTCTTGCCTGAACAACTCCAACAGCCCCCAAACTGGAAGCAATATTTTTTAAATGAAAAACTGAAAATCTAAAAAATTAAAGTCAATTTTTTAAAATTGAAAATCTGATCCTGTTTCTCCTTAGAACCCTTCCACGGTTTCCCATTGCCTTAGGATAAAAGCTAGAATGCTAAACTTGGCCCATAAGGCCTGCATGATCTGGCCCTGCTCTGTTCCTGTTCAGATATTTACTTGGCACTGCCCACCCACCCCCTTTTTTTTTTTCTAACCAGAACATTTATGTTGTGACTAATCGCTGAAATTCTTGAGATGAACTGGATGCTGCAACAGCTGCCCTCTTGGGTTTAGGTGTTGTTCCTTCACGGAATCCATGCCTGAATCTGCAGTACACAATTTTTAGGTGAGATCAAGTGTTTTTATCTTCCTAGCTCCCTCCCTGATGGATCACCATTGGCTGGCTGTTTCTCTATCAGAGACCATGGCACCTGTCAGGCAATCATCTCCCTGCCCTCTCTTGGGGGCTTAGGTAACTATTTCTGCCCCATGTCCCTGGGCACTGCATCATCCCTTATAGTTTCACTTCTGCCAAAATTTTGGCAAGCAGACCTTTTATTAAATTCTGAACTCTATCACTGTTTCCATCCAGGGCAATACTGACTGATGCTATGACCTATATACATAGATTTTTTAATATATTACATATATACACACATAAATATGTAAAATATATATATGTGTGCAAATATGAAACAAGTTTCATAAAACAATTTCATAAAAACAAACCCTTAACATGTGTTATACATTCTGATACTTTTGATTCTGTCATATTTTGCCTAAAAAGTATTTTATTTATTTACTTATTTTTAAGTAATCTATATACCCAAGATGAGGCTTGAACTCACAACCTTGAGATGGGCAAAAGACATGAAGAGACACTTCTCCAAAGAAGACATCCAGATGGCCAACTGACACATGAAAAAATGCTCAACATCACTCATCATCAGGGAAACACAAATCAAAACCACAATGAGATACCACCTCACACCTGTCAGAATGGCTAACATTAACAACTCAGGCAACAACAGATGTTGGCAAGGACGTGGAAAAAAAGGATCTCTTTTTCATTGTTGGTGGGAATGCAAGTTGGTGCAGCCACTCTGGAAAACAGTATGGAGGTTCCTCAAAAAACTAAAAATAGAACTACCCTACCACCCAGTAATTGCACTACTAGGCATTTATCTACAGGATACAGGTGTGCTGTTTAGAAGGGACACATGCACCCCCATTTTATAGCAGCACTATCAACAATAGCCAAAGTATGGAAAGAGCCCAAATGTCCATTGATGGATGAATGGATAAAGAAGATGTGGTATATATATACAATGGAGTATTACTCAGCCATCAAAAAGAATGAAATCTTACATTTGCAACTCATTTGGATGGAACTGGAGGGTATTATGCTAAGTGAAATTAGTCAGAGAAAGACAAAAGTCATATGACTTCACTCATATGAGGACTTTAAGATACAAAACAGATGAACATAAGGGAAGGGAAACAAAAATAATATAAAAACAGGAAGGGGGACAAAACAGAAGAGACTCATAAATACAGAGAACAAACAGAGGGTTACAGAAGGAGGTGTGGGAGGGGGGATGGGCTAAATAGGTACGGGGCACTAAGGAATCTACTGAAATCACTGTTGCACTATATGCTAACTAATTTGGATGTAAATTAAAAAAATAAAATAAAATAAAATAAAACAAAAAAGAGTTACAATGTCTAGGGATGCCTGGGTGGTTCAGTCAGTTAAGCGTCTGACTTTGGCTCAGGTCATGATCTCACAAGTTCATGAGTTCAAGCCCTGCATCAAGCTCTGTGCTGACAGCTCAGAGCCTGGAGCCTGTTTTGGATTCTGTGTCTCTCTCTCTGCTCCTCCCCCGCTCATGCAAGTGTGCATGCGCTCTCTCTCTCTCTCTCTCTCTCTCAAAAACAAAATAAACATTTTAAAAGTCACGTGTTTTACTGACTGAGCCAACCAGGCACCCCTGCCTAAAAAGTATTATAATCACAATCTACTACTCGGCCATCACATGCAGTTTGAAAAATGCCTTCTGCACGTGACACTTTCCCTGACTCATCAGCCTGGATCAGGATTCCCTTGTTTAAGTGCTCACTGCACTCTTATTTTCCTGCAGAGCTCTCTTCACATTTTGTAATGTTGTCATTTCCCCCCACTGGACTGTTAAGTGTCCTGAAAGCAGGAACCAGGGCAAGGACACTCACTATTAGCCTAATAAGTATTTGCAGAGTGAATGAATGAACAAAGAAATGAAACTCACATTTAATGTGTTATTCCTCCCAGGACTATTTTCCTTTAGATTTCTAGTATGTTAATAGCCGGATTTTAGCAGATTTCTGGGACAGAGAAAACTGGATGGAGGAAGTGAATTATAAGGTACCTACACCCTATCTTGATGTATTTAAGTGAGAATCTGATTTAAAAAATTTTTTTTCAACGTTTTTATTTATTTTTGGGACAGAGAGAGACAGAGCATGAACGGGGGAGGGGCAGAGAGAGAGGGAGACACAGAATCGGAAACAGGCTCCAGGCTCTGAGCCATCAGCCCAGAGCCTGACGCGGGGCTCGAACTCATGGACCGCGAGATCGTGACCTGGCTGAAGTCGGACACTTAACCGACTGCGCCACCCAGGCGCCCCGAGAATCTGATTTTAAACATGATTTACAGATATCTATTTTATAAAACTTTGGAGTCATCCTTTACTGTTCTCATTTCTTACCCATCAGCAAATCCTGTCAGTGTTACATTTAAAACATATTCAGAATTCCAGTACTTATGACCCCTGTCTACATGCCATAATATATCAGAATCATTACAATCCTAGTTGTTCTCCCTGCTGGTGCCCTTGCTCCCTTCAGTCTCAACAGAGTGACCCTGTTAAAATGTAAGTAAGGGGCGCCTGGGTGGCTCAGTCGGTTAAGCGGCCGACTTCGGCTCAGGTCATGATCTCACTGTCCGCGAGTTCGAGCCCCGCGTCGGGCTCTGTACTGACAGCTCAGAGCCTGGAGCCCGTTTCAGATTCTGTGTCTCCCTCTCTCTCTGCCCCTCCCCTGTTCATGCTCCGTCTCTCTCTGTCTCAAACATAAATAAACGTTAAAAAAAAAATTAAAAAAAAATGTAAGTCAAATTGAGTCACTCATTATAGAGCCCTCAATGGTTTCTCTTCTCAGAGTAAAAGCCTTCTTTACAGTGGCCTCCCTGCTTAATTTTTTTCTCCATAGAGAAAATTTTTCTCACATTGCCTTCTAATGTGCCATATATTTTACTTGCTTATTGTCTTGCTCTCTCTACTAGGATGTAAGGTCTATGAGGGCAGAGACTTCTGTAGTTTTGCTTACTGCAGTGTCCTCCGAGGCAAGAACAAAGCTTGGTGAAAAGTAGCCATTCAATAAACTACTGAATAAACGAATGCATCCATAGGGAAATCCAAGTAAACGCGCAATAATTAGGCAGTGTAAATCTGTGATACCCACTAATCTATCTCATTCTCGTCTGCAGGTATTTACTGAAGACCCAATTCGTGTGGGCACGGTGCTGCGCGCCCCACGAGTTTGGCAGCTGAATGAGTTCTCCCTAAAATGCAATAAGGCCTTTTCAGGGCAGTCCTACTCACTCTGTAGTCAAAACGAAGGATGCAGGTTAAAAACAGGTCATTTCTTCAAACAGATAAAGGAGTAGGAGGAAAGGAGTAAGGGGGAAAAACATAAAGAGTTCCTGCCTTCGTGTTCCTGGCCTTTCTCTTCCACGCTAGGATCCGAGAGGCTGTTTCCCTACTCCTCTGCGGTAAGCGGGAAAGATACCCCCATGTTGGCGTAACAATCTGGG